ATTTTTTGAGAAGGACCTGTACTAGACAAAAATAAAAGAAAATCACAGAGGCAAAAGATCTGCCAATCACAACACATCTACTGCAGTCATCTATTTATACCATGTATGCAAGAACATTGAAGAACATCCCAKTACACTATCTCAGTCCTTCAAAAATGTCATTCAATATTTAAAAATTAAATGGAAAAAGATGCAGAACAAAGATGACAACTCATCAAAACTGACTGATTCTCGCAGAGCTGAAATCTGGACAGTTTAAAAAACAAAACGGCAGTAAAAATAGTTTTGTGATGCTATAATTAGCAGGATTTGAAGCTGTTTGTTTTCCTTACCCTACAGTGAAGTTTTACTAATTTCTACTATAAAATACTTGTATGTGGATTTTCCTCCTAATTTTGCAGCTACGACAGCACTTGTTTATCTTTCACGTGTTCCTGTTTATTTAGAAACAAATGCGAGGGAAGTCAGGCTAAATCAAACCTTTGGCATGTTTTGGTTGCAGAAATAACAAATCAGAAGCATTAACCAGCAGCAAAGGAAGACTGTTAGCACTGCTTGTGCATCAGTCGTACCCTGCCAGCGCCCAGATGGGTCTCGTGTATCTAAAATATTCAGCAGAGCCCCATCTGCTACGATACAAGTCTCTCTCACACATTTAGCGCTGGCTCCGTGAGCTGGCTGAGGAAGGTGCACGTCCTGTCCAAGAGAACGGCCCCTGCTTTGTGCTTCAGTTTGGGCCGACTCTATTAAAATCTGTCCTCAACATACTCGTCAGCTGTTACGTATAAACAGAATCATACTGGTCACTGATTAGTGCTGCACCTGTAAATGATCACTTTATATGATTTTGTTCTCTGATCATACATCAAGGGATTTTATGACCAAAAACTGCTTTGTGTTATTTTAGAATAAATCCACAATTTGATCTAAAAACTTCTACTTAGGTTGCTATTGTTTTTTTTAACAAAGTTCTGAAGCTTTTATAGTATGAAAGCCATGATAGCTGATGTGGGGGTGTAACTCACTGGAAGGCAAAGGTGCTGCCGTAGAGCTTCTTGGCAGTGCGAAAGCGAGCTTCCTTGGCTGGGGGGCTGCTGAGCAACAGGAACTGGTGGGACGTGTGCATAAACTTTAGTTGCTGTTAAAATGCAGTTAGAAAACCGTAGAGAGAGAGACAAAAAAATCGAGTAAGACGGAGAAGGTAAAATTGTTCAAATTCTTATCTGTTTAAAAAGACTTGAGCAGATGCTGTTCCGGATTCTTACCCTGCTGAGAGGCAGCTTGACAATATGAGACCTGTTACTGGAAATAATCCTGCAGACAAACAGAGAAAGAGGAAAATAACTAGTGGATTTTTTTTCTCGTATTTTCCACAGACACTAACAAAAACAGCAGTAGAAATAAAATGAAACCCATGCAAGTGAGAAAACGTAATGTTATGCATATAACTACTGTTCCCTGAAGGAAAGGAACGAGGTACAACATATGTATGGGAACCACGCCCCTGCGTGTCCTGGCTGAAGCCACCTCTAATCACGCCTTTAGGCAGGTGACGTGATGACGACAGATGTCAGGCTCCGCCTGCACATATAAATATTGTCGCATCACCGTCACTCCTCAGTTCTACCCCTCTTCACCGAGCCCAGCTGTGCAGCGGGGCCACCATGTGTTGTACCTCATTCCTTTCCTTCAGGGAACAGTAGTTATATGCATAACATTACGAT